CTTTGTGAGGAAGTCGGCGTTTCCGGCGGCGGCGTGGGCGCGGATCTTGTTGGTCTGCTGGATCCAGCCGTAGAGCTCAGCCTTGTCGTCGAAGCCAGTCGTCCAGAAGACCTCGCGGTTGTTGGGGTTGGGGCCGCCGTTGAAGTGCTGCTCCTGGCCATAGTAGACGATGGGGATGCCGTCGCGGAGCATGGTGAGGGCGTACATGTTCTTGGCGAGGGCGACGTCGCCGTTGAGGTAGGGGAAGCGGGGCTGGTCCTGGTTCTCGACGAAGGAGCCCCAGACGGAGGGATCGATGGAGGACATGCCGGCCATGGTGTTGGCGCTCTCGTAGACCTTGTCCATGTCGCCCTCGAGGGTGGAGAAGACGGTGGCGAAGAGGTGGTAGCTGCTGTAGTCCATGATGCCGTCGAGGTAGTTCTGGTAAGGGGCGAGCAGGGTCAGGGAGGAGTGACTGACTTCGGCGAGGAGGAATACGCCGGCAGCCTCGCGGAAGCCGCCCTCGGTGAAGAATTCGGGCTCGATCTCGAGGGCGGTGTCGACGCGGAGGCCGTCGATGGAGTACTTTGTGACGAGGTCCTTGATCCACTCGGCGTAGATCTTGCGAACAAAGTCATCCTCGGTGCGAAGGTCGGGCAGACCCTCGAGCCAGCAGAGCTGCTCGGACTGGAGGTTGTTCCAGTTGATGGAGCACTCCTTGTGGTAGTACTCGGGCTTGTTGAAGGGCTTGTACTTTGTGTAGTTGCCAGGGGAGTCATTCAGACCGGAGTGGTTGGGGGCGACGTCAACCATGAGGTACATGCCGCGGGCGTGGAGTGCGCTGGAGAGCTCTAAGAGGTCGGCCTCAGTACCAAAGTGCGGGTTGATGGAGTACAAGTCCTCGGTCCAGAAGCCGTGATAGCCCTCTCCGTTGCCACCAACGTTGCCCTCGACGTTCTTCACGACGGGAGAGATCCAGATGGCGGTGGCGCCAAGGTTCTGGATATAGTCCAGCTTGCTGGTGATGCCCTTCCAGGTGCCGCCGCAGTACAGCCCCGGGGTAATATCGCATACCGGGGTCGAGCCGTCAGAGGTGGCGAAGCGGTCGGTGATGATCTGGTAGATGCTCTGGTTTCTCCATCCGGCAGCGTCCAAGGCAGAGACGCCCTGGAGAGCCCCGACGGCCAGCAAAGAGAGTGATGTTGCGAAGGAGCGCATTTTGTTATAGTTGATGAGAAGACTAAGGTATTAAGGCAATGTTTGATTGGCCAAGAGAAGGAAGAACAACGAGCAGGAGAAGATACGATGTAAAGAAAGTCGATTGGTGAACGATTGGGGTATAATGACCGGCAGGGATCAACGAATGACAACAGCACAAAGCAGAACGAGTGATTGCCTTGGCTTGAACTGCGACACCTATAGAGGGAGAGAGGGATGGAAGAAGGGAGGGAGGAGGAGGAAGAGAGACTAAGGTCAAGTGTGAAGACAGCGGTTGACCAGCATATATTGTATCTTTCACCCATGAGGACCACGAGCAGTTTACTCCCACATACCAGACTCGCGTCTTTAGACGAGGGCCTCGTTTCGCGGACCCCGTCCAAATCGCCCCTGCCAAAAGGGCTGTGCTACTGGCAGAATACGAATAACATGCCAGATCGAGTGGTCCCAGCCGATTTAGGTGAGCTCACGTTGTCCCTTTTGAATCAGATCCCAGCCGTCGTCTCCATCTGTAGATCCACTACCGTCCCTACCCATGCGGTGGATGGGGTGGTCTAGAGTCCTAGACGTAGCATTCGTCGACAGTTCGGATACTGCGAAACGCATCGTTAGTGGAAAGGAAGGATTTAAGCGAGGGGAAAAAGTCAGAAATACGAGAGAAGGGGGACAACAAGACTCTTGGGGGGAGGATATCAGAGCCCAAGAGGAAGGCGGTGATAAAGAAGAGGCTCCTTTCTGCGCATCCTGAACAAGGAGTTTGGGCGCTAACACAATCTACATTAGACAGTCAACCCCGGCTCTCCCGTCCGAGTCGGTTCGAAAACGGCAAAGCCCCAAGTCGGATAGTTTCCGGCGACGGGGGCTCTTCTCCACTTTAATCCCGATCGGTCAATATTCCACTCTTCTATAGAGTGCTTTTCTGATTAATTGCGTTGGCTCTTCCGGCGTGAATGAGCGAATGGATTCCCGGCTTTTCCTAATCGGTGAGCTTCCGTTTGGGAGAGAGTGGACGTTGCCCCCTTCTGCAGTGCTGCAGGTGCTGGAGCTTTTGGACCTGGTCCTATCTGGGTTTAGTCCATCGGTGTGAGCGTGTTTGTCACTTGTGATGTTCCCACGTTCCGACGCAGGAGTAACGGGGCCTTCCGTGAGGCTGTGAGGTCGAGATCGAGCTTCGAATCAGATTCAACGAAGAGGAACCAACCGGTGGACTTTTGAAGTATGGATAGTTCCTGAGGTGGGTAGGTGCTGAATTTGGCGAACGGGTGGGGCAGGCTAGCGCGACCTTCGAAGATGTTTGTTATACAGCACCTTACCTTCTCCTTTGAGTCAATGGAGACATCAATGTCGAGCCAAGGTAAGGTAGTATCGCGATGTTGTAGAGTGTAACTATGGGTACAGATATGTTTATCACTCTCATGTTGTCGAAGCAATCCAAAGGTAAGAGTTCTTCGAGATGACAGCAAACCCCCTTTCCCGAGCCAGCTCATCCTCATCCTTATTGTCATGTGGGCTGTTTCCAATTGCTTTTACTAAAAGACTGCTGATCGTCTTCGTATAGCGACAACATACTTTCAGTGTTCAATGTAATTGACTTTCCATTGGATTCGCGTTGGTTGCTAGAGCTGTGTCGCTACCATTCTCGGACAATTGGCGAGATTGGAAAATGGAAGAAAGATTTTGCGGAAAGCTTGGCTCAGAGACGACTTTTTCCAGCGACACGTTTAAATTCCATAGATATCCTCAACTTGCCCGGTTGTTTCTGAGTGAAGACCAATCCTGGAACTCTCTTTCCTCGTCGGGTGCGCATTTACAAGCATTGGCTGTTCGGCTATGAAAGTAGCTGACAGAGGGTTCTTCGGTATGGAAGGTACAGCGTGCTTGATGCAAAAGGTGCACTTCTTTCCTTGGAGAACCGAAGAAATACAGACCCTCTAGAAATAATGCACCTACCCGTACTGGAACCAAAGATACAGATGACGACAGAAAACGGCGAGATGTTCCGATATACTCGTTCGCAGACGAGGACCATACGTAAACACGGGATATAGTGGAGAACCCACCGTAGATGCAACCTCTTTACTCAGTAGGCGGTTCCTGTGATATGACGTAAGCTGGGAGACGGCACATGGCTTCCAACAGACAGAACGACGCGGTGTGCTTGTGGCCGCATATGTATCCGCCACATGATACAGGCATATCTGGGCTGTATTCTTGCATCCATGTTGCATTTGACATGCAGAGTATTGATTTTCGCATGGACCCAACGGCGGACATTGGAAAACCGACGCCGTTGAAGTTCGAACGGGTCCCGCCAACCTTTTTTAATGGGCACTGCGACCTTCTAGTCTCAACTTTAAAAAGCGTACCTACCTTACTAAGGCAAGCACGCAAGCTCCTTCCACGTGCCCGGGAAACGAATCCGACTACATGTCTCCATGGTCTCGATGAAAAAAACGAATATGAGCATCGCGGCAATAGTTCGCATGCCCAGGAACCCGCCGCATCGATATCGAACTGACACCTCACTCACATATACATTGCAAAAGATGTGGTGAGACCCGAGGAATGATGTCAATAGGACCATCAACAGCCAAGAAATGCGGCACAAATCCAGCCGTGGCAGGATCGCTTAGCGCTTTCTGGGCACAGCATTAGGTCGCAGGTACTGAATCTTGACTTGACTGGGCGATGCCCCGAATCCTTGGCGATTGGGGAAAAAGCAGAACGGCATCCCAGGCACGTGATGCCAAAATTCGAGATCCAATCAAGGCAGGCACAAGCTCCGAGTTCACCTCACCTCCATCTCACATCACATCACAGACAGGGACACCCAGGCGTTCTTTCCGCACTAGCTCACTTGACAGGGGCGCACTTTCCCTCCTTCCTACCTGACAAACTACGGCGGACCCATTTTACTTCTGCAGATTCAACGTCATCTCAACCACCTTCTCCCATTCTTCGCACCACAGACTTTGCGCGGAAGCAATCCAATTTGCCGGCAGACTCCAACACAACCTCTCATCTTCGACGGATCTTAGGTCGATCCCACCCTCTTCGCATTCGAGCAAACCCTCCAGCGATAATTTACGACCGATGGGACGCGTCCTAACTTGTCTCTTGACATCCAGGTTTCGAATCCTTCCTACCTGGCACGCCCTGGCCACCCTTCGAAATCAAACCAAAGATCTCCCTACACCCAGGTGAGATTTCTCTCACCGCGCCCTGCCTTACAAGTACCGACCTCCTCTCGCTCCTACAACCAACGCGGACCCTTCTCCGAACATGAAGCTATCCTCCCTGTCACACCGTCTGCAAGCGCAGACGTGGGAAGCGTCATGACGTCGTCCAAGATCCTCCAACGCCTGCCGGTAAGTGCGAACGAACTTGTCGATCTACGGCTTCAGTTCCGTTTCCTATTGTCCCATGATTTTACCAATTCTTGCGGGTTTGTTCCCCGCGTTCAGCCCCATCCCCGCTTTCCATGTAATCCATAGGCGCGACCGCGCTAGCTTTCCACCTTCTCGGTGTCGTTCGAGGTGAAGCTTCATGGAGAAGTCTCCGATTACGTCGTTGTACTCAACTATCTTCAATTTTCCGTTTCTTGGCGAGTGTCTGGATACATAAGGAGCCAAGCAGTCCCAAGCCGGGAGGCTACCTTGGCTGTCTTGGGATCTGAATCTACCCACCTATTTCTCCTACAGTTTCTAGTCTGCACCCCTTTGCCAGGACTTTTATCCCTCGTGGCAGTGTCCCGACTACAACCATCTCCCCTATCAGGCTGAAGCTCAGTCGCCACCACCAACATGGCTTCGGATCCGAAGCGAGAAAAGATTGGCGACCAGTCGTCGTCAGAGCATGCCGAGACAGAGTACTCTCACATGGACCATCCAGGACGACAGTCCGAGGCCACAGCGGTTGACGAGGGGGAGAGAAAGCGCCTGGAGGCTTCCCGCAAGCTGGAGAACCCTCTTGCTGGTTTTACGCCTGAACAATTGAGTCAAAAAGGCGAGGACTACTGTCAACAGCATGGCATCACTGACGAAGAAGACATTCGGGCTTTTCGCCTTGGTGCCATGATCGCTGGAAATATGAATAAGTACGACAGCATGGCTGAGATCACTGCCGATGAACGAGCAGTACTTGACGGCGAGTCCACTCACAAGTGGCGGAACCCCAAGATGCTCTATGGTGTTGTTGCCGGTCGGTCTTCTCGTCTCTTTACTCTTTTTCCTATTTTTACCTTTTTCTTATCCTTTCCCTATATGCCTCCCCAGCTTCTCTCTGTCTACGTCTTTCTCTTTACGTACAGAGACTAACCCTCCCCTAGTTTGTTCATTCTGCGCCGTCGTCCAGGGTATGGACGAGACTGTTGTCAATGGCGCTCAGTCCTTCTACAAAAAGCAGTTCGGCATCGCAGGAGAGACTGAGCGAGACACCTGGCTCCTTGGCCTGACGAACTCTGCTCCATATCTCTGCTGCGCCGTCATCGGTTGCTGGCTTACAGAGCCCATGAACAAACGGTTCGGTCGCCGGGGCACCGTCTTCATCTCCTGTCTCATCTCTGCCTTGGCCTGTTTCTGGCAGGCTTTCACCAACACGTGGTGGCATATGTTCATCGCTCGTTTCTGCCTCGGTTTTGGCATTGGACCCAAATCTGCCACCACTCCCATTTTCGCCGCTGAATGTGCGCCTCCTCGCCTGCGCGGCGCCCTCGTCATGCAGTGGCAACTGTGGACAGCCTTTGGCATCATGATGGGTTACGTTGCCGACTTGGCATTCTACTACGTGCCTGACAAGAGCGGCATTGTCGGCCTCAACTGGAGACTGATGATGGGCAGCGCCATGCTACCTGCTGTCCTTGTCTGCGCATGCTGCTACATGTGTCCTGAGTCCCCTCGATGGTACCTGACTAAGAACCGCCACTCCGATGCCTACAAGTCCATGTGCCAGCTACGCTTCAAGAAGGTACAGGCTGCTCGCGACCTCTTCTATGCCCATGCCCTCTTACAGGCTGAGAAAGAGACACAAGGCATCGGTAAACAGAACCGACTTAAAGAGTTCTTCACCGTTAGAAGGAACAGAAACGCCATGATTGCGTCAGAAATCGTGATGACCCTCCAGCAGCTGTGTGGCATCAATCTCGTCGGTGGGTGCATATTTCGCGGTTCAACGGCCATATATTAGAAACGGGGTGCAAGCTGCTTCCTACCGGAGGCTTCTCTCCATTTGTTCATCTCAGACACAATGCTGACTACGAATAGCTTATTATAGTACCGAGATCTTCCTATCTGCCGGTTTTCCGGAAGTGAGTGCCTTATCGGCGTCCCTTGGCTTTGGCATTATCAACTGGCTCTTTGCTCTGCCGGCTTTCTACACCATCGACACCTTTGGAAGGCGCAATTTGCTTCTCACGACTTTCCCGCTAATGGCCGTCTGCCTCTTTTTTACTGGCTTCTCATTTTTGATACCAACGAATCCCGCCAAAATCGCCTGCATCGCATTGGGTATCTACCTTTTCGGCATGGTCTACTCTCCCGGCGAGGGCCCAGTACCTTTCACCTACTCTGCCGAGGCTTATCCGCTGTACATCCGACCCATCGGCATGTCCCTAGCAACGGCCACGACATGGTTCTTTAACTTCATTCTCGCCGTGACCTGGCCGTCTCTCCAGAAGGCCTTTACGCCAACGGGAGCTTTTGGGTGGTATGGCGGCTGGAACATCATTGGATTCTTTCTAGTCCTCTTCCTGCTTCCCGAGACCAAAGAGAAAACGCTCGAGGAGCTGGATGCTGTGTTCAGCGTGCCTTTGCGCACGTTTGCGCGATACGGGCTCGCGCAATTCTTCTATTTTTGGAAGAGGTACGTCTTTAGGCAGGATGTTAACCCACCTGTTGTGCCCCATGCTGGAGGCACCGATTATCATCGGGATTCGTTTGCGCAGGAGAAGCAGCACAACCCGACTGCTCGTGTTTAAGGAGGCTGCTCAAGGGGTACTTGAGCTTGGAGACAAGTGCTGCTGCTTTGCCAGAGCAGCGTGGGATGAATCATAAGGTTCAGAAAGAATTGCCGCTGTACAATAATGGCGTGATGGTACCACTTTCCATCGCCTCAGGAATATTGGGAAGGTGTAATGTATATTAGAGCAAGGGATACTTGTCTAAGCAACGAGGTGCACCGTTAGCTACTTGGGTCACTTCTCCTTCTCTCCTGCCACAAGGTGCACAAGGGGAACGTGGCCGAGGGGTACTTGGAGGGAGTCATATATTCAACCATAAGTCCGAGGCCTCACTCAACCTAACGTTTTGTTCGATTCACCGTCGGTGACTCCTTTTTCTTTTTGTCACTTTCTTTTAGCATCTCATCCTGTCCCCTTTACTTTATTTCAGCCGGCATGGTGTTTTTCTTTCGCTTCTTGCCCTATGCGCTTCTATCGTCCTATTTAGGCCCCAGCATCCTTCACTCTAGTGTCACTCGTACCTGAACAACAAGTGGGTATGCCTCGCATGCGTATTCGTCACCCGCAGCCTGAGGTATCACGGAACATGGCGGGGCATAGACTATATACTGATTCACCTCGGAAATTCTCAACAGCAGTAAAAGGGACTCTTGCCCAGAAGCTTAAGATGGTTATACCCCTAATCCTGAAGTGCAAAGCTACCGAACTGTAGTTTGTGGATTCAAATCCCACAAGCGACCTTCATTTTCCTTTCCCCAATATTTTTTTGTCCTTCTTCTTTCTCTTCACGACGTGAGACTGGAACATTTCATTTCACTTCGTGAGGTGGGCAGAGGCAATGACGGATGACCTGCCTTGATACGCCCGTCCTCGCGGATACAATCTTTTACGGTTCGCACATTACATCCGTCATATAAGCGATGTGTTTTATTCGGTCTCTGCGACAGACAAACTAGAATTTCTTACCTCTGAGACAGCGCACGAATGACCATAGCACCCAAACATATCACTGGCTGGGCAGGGCAGTGTAACTTGAAGCCCTCGAGTAAGGAAACACTACCACCTGTATAAGGGCCAGAACCCTCGGCGGAGCCATCTGCAGGGGCCTCACTATGTACTACGTATTGCATGATGGAAAACTGTGTATATTGCGCTCCATACCTGTTTACTAACAACTAACAACTTCCGACTTTCCGCCGCGTGAAGTCCTTCCAAGTTCCAGCCGTCTAGACGGCGAGCTTCACCTACTCCAACGCGCACAAGACCTCCTGGTGCCAGCCCACGTAGACGGCTAGGTCCAGCATGATTTCCTCCTTCTCGTCGGGAGTCATTGGACCTCTCAAGTAGTGCCTCCGGAGCCCGGTTTCCCACGCCTCCGCGTGACTGGCCCCGCAGAGCATGATTTCCAGCCCGGCGTCGATCTGCTGGATCTTGGCATCGGTGCCGGTCCGGCTGTCCACGGCGTTCGTGCTGTCGCCCAGCCGGATTCCGCACCGTCGGAACGCCCTGCGTCGCTTCTCCGACTTCAACATGTCCTTGTTAGCCACGATGGCTACGGCGTCGATCTGGCCGAAGTCGTCGTCGAGCCTGAGAGGGGCAGACTTGTCGATGGGCATTGTTGGAGTCGGGGCTCGTCGATGTGGTCGTTTGACTGGCCGGCTGGTTGACTGGTGGTTTGTGCGGGTTGGAGAGGGTGATGTGGGATGTGATGAGGATGGACAGAATCCTCGTCAGCTCTGATGAGAAGTAAGATCTGTCCCGTCGAGTCCTCTCCGAAGAAACGTGGTGTTGAAGCATGGAGATCATGGCGCTTGTAGAAGCCGCCCTTCATTTCAACGCCTTGCGGTCGTGGACGAAGCACTTGGGGTTGCTCTGCCTCGACCGACGTGTGGTTGGATTCTTCGGAAGCCACTGTGATATTGTTTGAACTCTGACCACAGGGCCTAGAGGTCTCTGGATCGTCTCCCTCTGTCGCTGAGTCGACTCTTTGGGTAATAGTGCCAGCACTATTTACACTTTGTCGTGTATATTCCCGGGAGGGTTGGATCATCCTCTAGACCTGCATAGTCTCCAGCTGAATGCTGGCTGTCTTATGCGAGGCATGTCGTAACGGCGAGGGCTAGATCTCCGTCTAAACCTGTACAATCTCCAGTATGTCAGTGGCTGTCTTATACGAGGTGAAGGCTGAAGTGCTAGACCCTCTGAAAGGCCTGCCTAATCTCCTGCTTGTTGCAGGCTGTCTTATGCGAGGCGGGTGGTGTTGGGTGCATTTGGGACTGTCGCGGCCTCTTCCCCATGGCTCAAGGTTGCCGAGAGATGTGCCATCTCGTAGACGGTGGTGGATATGTTGAAGACCTCCGCGGTCGGTGGGGAGAGAACTCCAGCGATCCTTGAGTCGTTGATCCTCGAGCTGTAAGAGGAGAGCAAGGCGCGACAGGGGTGATGGTTACACAAGGGGGTGTCATTTGTGCTATCTGACATGCCCTGGTCTTATGTGAGCATAAGGTATGCGTGTAACCGAGCAGATATGATACCAGCGGCCTGTTCAGGGCTTGATATGCTGTGTTGTCGGTGTGGGTTCAAGCTGAACCGGTGTTGGGGGTCTGGAGATCCATCGAGGACTCCTTTTGCCCTTGGGGGGATGGAGGGGGGTGAGACTGTGTCTGGGGAGAAGAGAAGAGAAATTGGAAGGGGAAGTGTGAGCATCTTATAGGTATTTGGAAAACATCAAGGTGCTCGAAAGGCCATAATCTATGCTATCTCCGTGTCTCTAAGGTCATGAGGTCCCTTGGGTAAGTCCCCTGATGACTATATTAAGCTTCATCACCCAGTAATGGCGGTGGACCACCTTGAGGGTAGAGTGACAGGGAAAAGTTAAAAGTCGAGAACTGCGACCTTGGGGGAAGGTTTATGGGAGATGGTACAGTTAGCCCTCGCGGACTGGCTCTGGGAAGTTTCACAACTGAGAGAACCGTCTCTAGATCTGGTTATACTTCAACCTCCACGATATCGCAATGGAAACCCAAGAGTCTTGAGAAGCAGGTAAGAAAAATCGGAAGTCATGCTGTTGGTTCTCAGACTCAGGCACGCGAACAGCTGCAAGAGTAAAACAGGCACACGCACTCTTACCAGATTCGCTTGTGATATCAACGGTACGGATAGTTCAAAGTGAGAATAAACCTGATGATCATGGCGTGCTTAGGTTTTTGGAAATGGGCAATGTGACAGCCGCTCTATCGGAGGTTTGGTAGCAGGAGAAACGTCCTACCGCAAGCGAGAGACATGTGGTTTTGCATCCCAACACGAACAAACCGACTGAAAAGGCAATGAGACTGAGAATATCGTCCGCATCTTGGGACGGAAATAGAGTTGACAGCGGACCATTAGGGGCGAAGGCAAACGGGACGGCAGCCATCCACTGGATTCGGTCTGGGCTTTTTTTTTTTTTGGTGGCATCGGGAGCCAAGTGCCAGGGTAGGAGCTTCGGAGCTCCAAACTCAGGTTGCCAGCTTCCAGAAAGAGGGCCGAAAAACCGTGCATTAGCGCAACTGCAAGCGTCCGGGACGGAGGCTTGGGAGGGGCGACCGCACGGGAAGGACGCTGGAGACGTTGCAGGCGCCGCGGCAGCTACCAATCAGACCGGCCGGAGCGGTGACCCTCCCCAGGCGGTTTTCTATCGATAAGATCGGTTCATACCCCTGCAGTGCGCCAGTGATGCGGTGGTGCATCACTGAGTGCGACCTGACAGCTGACGTCAGGGGTCTGAGATGGACGCAGCTTCCCGCGCGACTACAAACAGAGCTCACCTCCCCGGTTTCCCTCACACGATGCTGCCATTGCTTGTGTTTGCTTCATCAACTGACTGTTTCATCTTTGTCCTCTCTTCTTCTCGTTCTGTGTATGTGTGTCTGAGATAGACACATGATACAGACAGGCAGACAGACAGACAGACAGACTTACAGACAGGCCGATCGACATATTCACCGTCCGCTTGCTTGGTGTCTAATCATAGCTCGTGATTTCTTTGTAGCTTTTCATCTTGTATTCACCGTGCCCCTTTCCCGCGTTCGCCTGATTCCAGGGTGGCAGTTGGTCCCTCGAAATCTTGCCCATTATGGAAACCGCTCCTGGCTCTTCGCCCTCCCCGGCAGCACCTGCCGTGGAGCAGGATGCGGTCGTGCAAGAGGCAGCGACGGACGTACCACCTCACAACCACCCAAGGAGTACAAACACAGAAACCCCTCCTGCCAGCTCTCACCCTGCTGCAGGACCTGATTCGACTTCCAGTCCTGATCCCAACATCAAAACTTTACCCTCGGAACACGACGAGGCCCAATACAACTACGCCTACTCTGACGAGGAGAATTTGGACGCATCTTCTATTTGCTCCTTTGAAGAAGAAGAAGACGGTAATTGGGAACGAGACCCAGACGATCCTGATACCATGGCCGGCTCGAGACGCCCTCACGGCCAGCGCCGTCGTACCCAGACCGATCTTACTGGCGTCCTCACTCTCGAGGAGAAGAACGAGCTCATCAACCTGGTCAGCAACATCTTGGACAGTATGCAGGACCAGATCAGCAACATCTTTCACTCTCCTCCCATCACTCCCGCTACGACCGAGGACCCCCAGCACTCGTGGCTATCCCTCTCGCTGCTGAAGAACAAAGTGAGCGGCACACCTGCCGCCCCCCAATCTCAATCTGAGGGCGGCGCCAACAAAGAGAATGCCGGCCCTGCTTCGACTTCGAACCAGCAGAAGGGTGGGTTAACGTACAACAAAGCCCATGAGATAGTCGAGAAGGAAGAGAAAGAGGCCATGACGCCTCAGCTCCAGGAGCTCAAGAAGGAGTGTCTTGTCGTCTTCAGAAAGTGGCAGGGCAATGTCCTGACGCGCGCCAAGGACATTTCGGTCAAGGATCCCGAGGCTTCAGCCGCCCCAGCCAGTCGTGGAGGTCGTGGTGCTGTTCGTGGAGCCCGCGGCAGTCGCGGTGATCGTGGTGCACCTCAGGGAGGTCGAGGCACTGCCCCGCGCGGCCGTGGTAGTAGAGGCAGCGCCCTCAGCGTCAAGACAGGAGGTACGTTGGAAGCTGCTGGCCCCGTAATCCCTAGCTTTTATGCTGACCTGAACAGGCCCGCCGGCTACACGTCAACCCGAGACCGACCTCTGGCTCATCAGACGATTCCCTCCGAATGCCACACCACTGACCGCCCTACCCATCGAGCGCCGGAAGTTGTTGCTTCACACAATTCTCCTGCTTCTCCTGTCATTGGAACAGTACACGGCCTTCTCTCGCGTCTTCATGCTCAAGTTGGCATCATCGCTTCACCTAACTCTCCGCTTCTTTCAAGAGGATGAGGTTCGGGTTGCCAGAGGTCTCGGCAAGACTGTGCAGGAGGTCAACGCCGATGAGGTGGTGGAGGACAAGTCTGCAGAGAACAAGTCGACCAGACGCTGGAAGGTTGGACTTGCTGGCGCTGCCGGTGCTGCCATCATTGGTGTCACTGGAGGTCTTGCGGCTCCCCTAGTCGCTGCTGGCATTGGCACCGTTATGGGCGGTGTTGGACTTGGTTCCACGGCGGCAGCTGGATTGCTCGGCACTCTAGCCCAGAGTGGCGTTGTCGTTGGAAGCTTGTTCGGTATTTACGGTGCTCGCCAGACATCCAAGATGATGGACCAGTACGCCAGAGATGTTGCCGACTTTGCGTTTCTACCTCTACATGGCGAGATGCGAGATGAGTATCGCGATGCCAAGGAGATCCCGTCCAAGGACCGTCGCCTTCGAGTTGTCCTTGCCCTCAGTGGTTGGCTTACTCAGAAGGAAGATGTGGTCAACCCCTGGCGTTGCATCGGCCACCAAGGTGAGGTGTACGCTGTGCGATGGGAAGTTGCCAACCTGATGAATATGGGTAACTCGCTCGAGACTGTCATCAAGAGTACCGCTTGGAGTGTTGCCAAGAAGGAGATCATCACGCGGACCAGTAAGTCTCGCGCCATGCAACGCAAAACCCCCTTGCTAATCATTTGTAAGTCTTTGCCAGTCTCATGTCGGCCATGTGGCCCATCGGCCTTCTCAAGGTCAGCAAGGTCATTGACAATCCCTGGAGTGTCGGAATGGTTCGAGCCGAGAAAGTTGGCATGATCCTAGCGGAGGCCATCAGCCGCAAAGTGCAAGGCGATCGGCCTGTCAGTTTGATTGGCTACAGCTTGGCTGCCCGAGCCATCTACACCTGTTTGATGGTTCTTGCCGAACGCCGCCAATTCGGCCTCATTGAGTCCGTGGTCATGATTGGCACCCCGGCGCCATCCGAAAGCCGGGTTTGGCTTGCTTTGAAGAGCGTCGTTGCGGGCAGACTTGTCAACGTCTACTCGGAGAACGATTATATTCTAGGCTTCCTGTACCGTACATCCAACCTCCAGTTCGGCGTTGCAGGCTTGCAGCCAATCCAGGGCGCCGAAGGCGTAGAGAACTACGACGTGAGCAGTATGGTTAGCGGCCACCTGAGATACCAATACATGATTGGTACCATCCTCAAGAACATCGGCTGGGAGGATCTCGACTACGCGCAGATCGAAAAGGACGAGCAAGTCCTCAGCCTCATGGATGAGAAATAC